CAATTTAAATTTTTTGATATAAGACTTATTGTTCTAATGAAGAAAATGGTTCATTATAAAGGCTCCCTTTTTACCAATTTTCAAATTTGGACGCGCAAAATTTCACTCGTTGCTGTGTTTCACCACAACTTAAATATGTTTGATACAAAAGTGCGGCAGAGTGTCGTAAGGTGACACGTGTTTTTAATGAAAATGTGATTTTACGAAATCAAAGGAAATAATTGATAATTTCAACTTCTTCGTAACCAATTTTCAAGTTTGGAGAAGCAAAATTTCGCTCATTACAGTCGTTTAAGCTAATTTAAAGCAATTTTTAAATTTGGGCATGCAAAATTTCTCTCTTTTCAATAGTTCACGCTAATTTAAATTTGTTTTTGCGAAATCAAAGGAAATTATTGATAATTTCAACTCCTTAACCAATTTTCAAATTTGGACGCGTAAAATTTCGCACTGCACTTTTCACTGGCCCCCCTACTCATAGGGCCTTGCATGTGGCATTTATTATGCCTTGTTTTGAGCCTTGTAGTTTATTNACAATTAAGTCGGTATTTACACAACTTTAGTTTTTATTTTTGCTTATTTCTTATAGGCACCTGAATATAAATACATATAGCGTAATTACCAAACAACAAAATTTTGCATCTAATTGGCGAAACTTCTTACTGCTAAAAATCATGAAATCTACTGTTTGATTTTATGTTGTGTCTCAAAACATTTATTACATTTCGAAAACCGAAGAAGATATTCTCTCTAAACTGGCCCATTTCCGACCTCCAAGTGATGCGGAGTCATATGGTGCACATCATCATCATAAGGTCGTCAGTCCCAAGGCTGGTTGGACACACACCTACACTCTCTCCTATCCTGAGCTAATCTTCGCATTTCCCGAAAACTAGAACAACGCTCATTCTTAACTATTTGCGAACAGTAATCTAATCTAGGTTTCTGCGCCTTATATGCCTCTGACTAGACCTTCATGCCTGAGAAGGTGTCCTACCTACCTATCTCGCCTATTTCTTATTGACTTCCATAGAGTCCTCTACTATCCTACTCTTTCTAATACCTCTTCTCTTCTAAGTTTCTCCATCCACGTTATCCTCATCATTCGCCTATAACACTACATCTCGAAAGCTTCTAACCTTTTCTTTTCCGTCGCAGCAACTGTCTATGTTTCGCACCCGTATCACGCCGTGCTCCAAACATACACCTTTAACAATATTTTTCGAATTTCTAAATTAATCGTTCGCGAGCTAGAAGCGACTTCTTTTTATTGAAAGCGACTCGACCCTCCGCTATCATCTGCTTTATATCCCTACTACTCCTTCCGTCCTGACTTATCTGACTTCCTAGATACCTAAAATCAGTAACTTCTTCTAATTTTTCGTCTCCTGTCTTAATAGTCGCTCTTTCTCTACTTCTTCCTCCCTTTCAAACCAGTATTTCTGTTTTACTTTTATTTGTTTTCATACAGTACTGTTTTGTCCTCTTCCATTTTATTTAAAGCTATCTCCAACTCATCCTTGATGCTAAATGCTAATACTGCTATATCATCTACAAATGTAGGCATTCTAATCTTTTGGCCCTGTACCTATATCTATCCCTACAGTTGTACTGTCTTTAATGATGTTGATCGCGTCTTCCATATATAGATTAAAAAGTAGCGGTGACAGTGTGCATCCCTGTCTGACTCCCTTGCAGACCCATCTCTAAACTGCCTGTTACTAACAAACAAACTAAGTATCTAAATGGTAGAGTACTGTTGCGAAAAACCAGGGGCCCCTGTTCTCGATTCCCGACAAGGAAAGAGGTTATCTATAGAAGGTAAAATTTATTCAAAAATTAATTCACTAATACATTGAATTAACGCTACAAAAAATAAAATTTTTATAAGTAAACAGAGCAATAATTCCTTACTTTAATGGTCCCTATAAATGTTATGTAAAAATGTATATCTTGTATTATTCATATGCATATTATTTAGCATGATACTAATTATGTAGTGTGTGAATCATTAAGCGTTAAACTGCTTATCATAATCGAATGATAACATAATTAACAGTTTATTAAAATACCGTTTTAATTCTTGGAGGGTAAGATAGGTCGTGACCCCTAGGACTCCTCCTCTCCGCCCCCTTTTTCTTCTTAAAGTATTCTTCTATTCAATAATTCAACTATTCCTTAAACTTCAACTTAGAAGTTCAGGAATAATTGATGCTGTTTTAAATAAAATAGAAGGATGTTTGACCCCCCTAAAGTTTCACGCACATTGCTCTCATAAATGTCAAGATACCTTGTTATGTTTGTTATAGTTTACATAAATTGTCAGTATCTTTTGGTTTGTCCTAATTTTTGAATTATATTGACAACTTTTTTCGCGAACCTTGTACGTATTAAAATTCTTATGCATTAATATTGTTGCCTTATTTTCGAAGCGAGTAACTCGAATGGTAGAAGCAAAGTTTTTTTTCGAANAAGGAACTTCATTAAAATAATCTCGAAAAGATTTGAACTTGGTTTTTCAAAATAAAATTACACAAAAAATTAGTACTACATACATTTCAATTTTTTCGTTTTCAGTTTACCATCTTGTACAGTAACCAAACTAAAATATAAAAAATATATTTGGTAAGTTTTGCCTATCCAGTACTTAATCTATCCATTTTAACACAGCCAATAGGGATCTCGTTATCTATACATTTAACAGTAATTATTGGTAACAAATTTTGCTATTTATCTCAGTAAGTGTACAGGGCAAGAAAATGCGAGCTTGTGATAAACAAGGGTAACATTCTGTTAAAAGATTTAGAAAAGAAAGATTCATTTTCTTTTGTAGACCACAGAAAAACATTAACGAGTTTTAAAGCACCATAAAATGGTGAGAAAGTACATTAACTGAATATCACGTTGGCTTGCAATTGTGTCGGAAAAAGACTTTACATTAACCTACATTTGTTGAAGATGTTTATTTGAAAAACACCATTTGAGTCAGTAACCCTTAAAAATAAGTACGTACATACAACTTCGTTAGCGGGAGATATAAAAACAAAATGGCAAAATATATGTCACATAACGTTTTACTGATTGTACCTAACAGTTACTTGAGATAAGATTTTAAAAAATTCCAAGTAGCGAATAGATGGAGATTGTGGTAAAGGAATCCATAAACTGAAGAGACTCGCCCTTGTTATTACTAACCTTTTCACTTAGGGACACGTGTATCGTCTACTTCTATACACACACGTGTCTGCAGTGAGCAGACTTAGTAGTAACTAGGGTGAGTCACTTTTAGTTCATTTAAAAATTACACGTTTTTTAGACGTCTTTTCTTACATTATAAATCGTTTTCAAATTCTTCATATATTGTATATCTTTGAAATTTGTTAAAAAAAAACGTTTTTTTGGGTTAAGCTGACAACACAAAAACCTCTATCTCTCTCTTTCCCTCTATTCATTGATTGTAGAGATTGTATAGCGTAAGAAACTTGGTTCCTACCGGGTGTCTCACGACACCACACAATTTTTGCTTTTAAGACTTTCCCGACACAGTTACAAGCAGTTCAATACAGTAATTCTTCATAAAAAGCCGTCCCTTGAAGAAAAAAACAGAATCCCCTGAATGCAGAAATATTTTTACTTTATTTAAGGGGCTTTCTACATTTCACTTTCGACGCCATACTTTTTCTTTTAGGGACGTTGGCGGCAAATCTTTCGTTATAAATTCGTTTTCTCAATTTCGGATCGAACACTTTACTCAGTTCGGGCTCCAAATTCCTTATTCTCAACATGAACCTCTCTCTATCTCTTGCGCATTCTTCCCAGGGCCCTTTACGCGCCGCTTGGTATGCATACGACCATTTTACCATATGATGCACCTTACATAAATGTTTGTCACTGGCAAAACTAACCTAAAAAGAAAAAATGTCCACATTTTATACTATATCGTAGATGTATTACGACTAGAAATTAAATAAACAATAAATGGTAAAATAGTTTAGAATCCTTTTTTTGTCATTTTAACTACTCAACATTTCATATTTACGTCACAAAACGTTTTTACAATAATTGGTAGGTACTCAAGTATGCAATGGTGAATTTTGATTGATCTACAGATTTATTTTTCTTATTACAATTGACCACAAACTGGACCTGAGCCACATTGCTTGGCCCTAAAAATGTTCCTTGAAATCCAAGAAAAATTTTTAATACTGTCCAAATAACTAAAGTAATTAAGACTTTATACATACACTAATTTCATCTTAATTACATTCATAAACAAAAGAATGCCAGGAATAAGAACCACCATTATTAATATGAAATACTCCAAATGATCGAAGGTCATTAGATCAATATTATCGATGCATTATTAGCCAGGTGTATGTATTTGCAGTGGACTCTAAAAGTGAAGATGACTTCTTCCAAATAATCTTTTACTCAAAATAGATGCTCTTCATCATTAACCTTTTCAATCTTATCAATTTCATATAAAATTAAAAGTAACAAGCATGAAGGTCACAAATCCCTTTAATAATTATTTATATTATTCATTTGAGCATGTGCTGAAATAATGCTAAGAAATTGCATCATATGAAAACAAGGAGAATGTATTTAGAACGCATTTTACTTATTAAAGACAGAAAGTAGTTATTATGAACATGGTTATTGTTGTTGTTGTTGGAAATTTACATACACATGCCGGGTAATTTTTTATAGCTGTTTATTAATGGATAAGGATAATTTTAAAAGTCATAACTAGATAAAATGAGTATGTCCACATGGATAATATTACTTTCTTTTTGAAATGCCGTTATTTTAGACAGACATTTTTTAATCAACGTTATATCACCCGATAATTTTCTAAAAAAAAAAAAGAACATTTGAAAAGTAAGATAATAAAATTGATTAATTAATTTATATTTTTGAAAACAATTCAATATAATAAACCTCTTCTTAAAAATTAGTAATTTTACTGACGTGAGAGAAGTGAAGAACTATGCATTTGGGATTGATTAATCATTTTACACCCTTTGGTAATGCTCTGATCTGTTTTAATTTTTGAGAATTATGAATACTGGTGGCGAATAATATGATACTATCCAAATCGTACCCAATAACCGCCATCACCCCTTCCCTACTGTAATTTAAATATTACGTTAAGTATTTATATTCTTTCCTAACCATTTTTACGGGGTTTTTCTGCTTTAAAAAGAATATTGAAATTGTTAGTTTTCCCTTTAAAATATCAGATATTCCTGACATTCTAAAAAATCTTATAATAGATACTTGAGACAATACCTACTTCCTCCGAAAATATAAGTTTCTGATATCAGGTAATATACATAAGCGTGTTTTTTTTTTTTAATAAAACGACTGATTATAATTATCATTGTCATTGTTATTTTCTGATAAATATATTTTATCATTGACTGATAACTGAAAGTTCACTTATTATTGTACCAATTTTCATTTATTTTATGTAAAGCAACTGTTTATTACTTTCTTTCTTACTTTTTTTCTATTAGTAATTTGACTTTTTTGAATTTCCTCTTCATCTTCAGTGGTGTCATCTTCAAAGAAGATACATATAGATTCTCCATCATCAAATTCACTTTCATCATCACATACATTATCATCTTTAGCAAAGACAATAAAACTGTCTTCACTTTCACATTCTGATACATTCCTAAATCTAACTGGATGTGAATCCTCAAGTGAAGAACTGAGAGTTTGGTCAGCTGTGACTACTAGGGAATTTGTGTTTATCACTAATGGCATGCTGCTTTTAAGAGTGGGTGATGAATGGGCAATATTTCTACAGTTTTCCAAAAATACCAACTTTTCTGAATTTAAGAAATCATCATCATAACAGTCTCTATTTTCACTTTTACAATTTTTTGTTGTGACCTCATCCAAGTCATCTTTTATGTCTATTTTGTTTCTGTTCCAGTCTTTATTATGTTGCCATCTCCTATTTGTGTCTCTGTTGTAATGTTTTTTCCTCTCCTGGGCAGCCATCCTTCTTTGTTTTTTCTTTTTTAAACTGTTCAGCCTGTTGACTTCTCTGGAATATTTAGAACTGCCCAGATCATAATCATCCATTGTTTTATATTTCCCTTCAGTTTTCATTTTTAGACAAGGCTTAATTGAATTTAATGTGCTTCTATCAGCAGTATCACAGCAGGTTTTTCTATTTTTTGTACTATTTTCTATGCTCTCATTAACATTCTTTGTTACAATACAGTGGGATTCTTCATTAGTTACCAAATCACAGTCATGGATGTCTTTTTGAATGCTATTGTTTTTGTTGTAAGAGTTATCAGCTTCATGAGTAGAACATTCAATCATTCCCAGATTTTGTTCTTGTTCATCAGGACCCTTCCATGATGAGAAGAAACTTTTAATAAGATCAATCAAATATGTGTACATATCTGATATTTTATGTGCATTTCCATCAACAGGCTGCATGTTTGTAGGATGAAAATGACCAATTCGGGCATTTGAAAAATTGGTATACGCATTTGTTGCGTCTAATGAAGGCCCTACTACAAAATCTTTCAGGCCTTCGCCGAAATTCTGGTTACATGCTTTTTGACTGAAATATTTGTTTGTCAAAATATTGCTTGTCAAATTCATTTTATTCGTGAAATTGAAAGCGATAATGTTCTGTCTGTCCATGTCCGCGTATTCCGGATTGCAATAATAATAATAATGAATATTACACGGTTTACAGAACTCGCCTCGTGGGGCCATGAAGCGCCTATTGTTTGAAAATTTACTTGCAAACATTTTTCCCGCTACGAATGTCCCCTTTTTCAGTAACACAATCTTCTTCGTTTACAGCATCTGTCGATATTCGCAACAGTTTTACAAAACATCAAATCTGATGTTCCGCCTTTAAATTTCAGCCCTTGAAAGTCAACTTTTGCACAAATAGCGAGTGAAGGGTTCAAAATATTCTTGTCGTTATTTTCACAAACTGACACACTTGAATTAATTATGGAACTTTGATTATTTTCACTTATTACCGCCATTATTACGCTTTAACACTGCTAAATCACCTTAAACATTCACAACTGCTTCATATACTTCGGCCATTTTGTAGAATATGATGGAAGAATTATCGAGTTCCGAGCATGAGTCGGATTGTGTTATTCTGAAGGTCTCACGCAACCCCACCATTGAACCAAACAAGTAAGTAAGCATGTATTTAAAAAGAATGACGAATACCAGTGTCGTCTCGTCCGGTACGTTCTCTATATCTCCATTCTTCAGTCTTCAGCATAGGCTTCAGTGTTTCCCGAACTGAGGTAATACATGCATAGTATCGTCATTTTCATGTACTTAACTGAGTTGTTTGTTAATTCCTTGATGAGAACTACTATGTATTAGAACAAATTCATCTGAAAACAATTATATATAATATTAACGTCCTTGAGCTATTAAAGTAACTGGTAAATGTAGAAAAACTGTACTATTACCAAATGCATCCCTTTTACGTTAGAGTTTTACATTTACTTTTTTTCGCCCAACATGCTCCCGAATGGTTTAATTTAGAAATTCTAAAAAGTTTGTTAAAGGAATATGTTTGGAATAATGAGGATACTGTGGATCGAGAACGTTAGGAATGAAGAGATATTAGAAAGAATAGGTGAACATAGGACTCTATGGAAGACNATATAGATAATTTGTCATACTCATTTTTTAAGTGTATCAGACATCTAAAAAGAAAAAATAAAAGAAAATGAAGACAATGGTAAAGAAAGAAATAAACTAATTGTAAAATAAAGACAGGGTGGGTCTTACCGCTAAAGTCTTTGATGAATTTGCTTTTAAGTTTAAACTTTTCCTTCTTCATAATATGTGACTGTTCGCCACTGTATATAGTTTCTTTATATTTTAAACTATTAAACACAAAGCTTTTAGAAAATATTAGAAAGAAAAATTCTTGATGTCAAAAATAGTTTTAAATCAGTTGCATTAAAAAGGTTTGCTTTCCATAATCTTAAATTGGATTTTAAAAATTAGTGAAAATGTAAAAAAATGGGTTTTGTCTTTCTTTGGTATCATTAGATTGGATAAGTCCCGTTGTAAGGGTTCCATACATCAAAGAGAAAAAAGGATCCCATATTTAATCCTTTCGTTGCCCGTCTGTCTGTCTGTCTGTTATGGCCCTTTCTCTGGAACACGTAGAGGTATCAAGTTGAAGTTAATATCAAATACTCAGCCATGCAATCCCTTGGAGATGTGAAAAAATAAAACCTCTAAGTCAATGCAATCAAAAGATATTGCCGTTTATGCCGCATATTTTGACACCTAAATGTAGGGTACTGCCCGTTGACCTAGAAACATGAAATTTGACAGGAAGTAATGGCTTACGGCATAAATAAAGGGAAAAATCCAAAAACCGTGAATTTGTAGCCACACCAACCTAATTTTTTAATTTTAATATTGTAATTATAGTTTTATCTTTTGGGACTGATTTTAGTATGAAACACAAAACATACTTCCTTGATGGATCCCTACTTGTTTGCATTATTTGGTACTGACATAAATTTATTATATTGCATGTATTAATATATTCAGAAAATTATTTTAGGTATTAGGAATATTTAATATCGTTCTAAGAATTAAGCGCTGTAATAGACACATAATTATGAATGTAAATTGGTTAAGTAGGTAATAAAGTTAAAATTAGCGGGAAGCACTGCCACGAACATTAATAAACTTATAATAAATTATAAACTGCTACAATTTCGAGTAAAATATTTCCTCTGGCGGAAAAGTAATCTAGTAAAATTACGGGTTTATCAATTTACAAATTTGGACATGCAAAATTTCGTTCTCTACAGTGATTCAAGCCAAATTAATTTTTTTTTAATTAAAAGCGTGGCAGGGTGTCATAAGGTGGTACGTTTTTGAACAAACTGTGTTTTTGCGGAATCCAAAAAATGGATTCATAATTTTAACTCCATTTTACCAATTTACAAATTTGGACATGCAAAATTTCGCTCTCTACAGTGATTTAAGCCAAATTAATTTTTTTTTTATTTAAAGGCGCGGCAGGGTATCGTAAGGTGGCACGTTTTTTACTAAACTGTATTTTTGCGAAATCAAAATTAATTAATAATTTTATAAAGTTTTGCTCTTTATTTGTTTAATATACTAGCGCGAGAAGATGTCGTAAAATGACATGTGTTTTTACGAAATCCAAGAAAGTTGTTGATAATTTCAACTCCTTAACCAATTTTCAAGTTTGGACACGGAAAATTTCGCTCATTGCAATCGTTGAAGCTTATCTTTTTGTTATTAAAACGCGGAAGTGTCGTGAGATGTATTTTGACGAAAATGAATCTGTGGGAAATCGAAGAAAATGATTCATAATTTCAATTTCTTTCAATGGAATTTTCAAATTTTAGGGAGCAAAATTTCGCTAGTCGCAGGCTTTCAAGTCAATTCAAATTTGATTGATATAAAAGCGTGGCAGAGTGTTGTAAGGTGACATGTATTTTGTCAAACATGCGTCTACGAGAAATCGAAAAAAATTATTCATTATGTAGACTCCCTTTTTACCAATTTTCAAATTTGGGCGCGCAAAATTTCACCCTTTGCTGTGATTCACGCCAACTTAAATTCGATACAAAAGTGCAGTAGAGCGTCGTAAGGTGCCATGTGTTTTTGATGAAAATGTGATTTTACGAAATCTGTTTCGTTGTTGCTGTTTCAAAATAAACACATCAACATCTTGAGCTATGTTTTAATTAAAACAAGTACAGAAAAAATACAAGTTGCAAAAATGGTCACTGAAATGTCACGTTACAAGTTCTTGGTACGAAGGCTGAAATACTTGTCTTCTCTTTTTCGGAATTGGTACAATTAATATATACATATAGAGGGGTAGGTACGCCCTTCGACAAACAAAGATGGTAACGCCCATTCGGTTCTGAAAAATATTGAATTTGAATTAGAAGATGCCGACACAGCGGGTGCTTGCAAAAAAAAATTCGCAAAACAGTCGTTTAAGCTAATTTAAAGCAATTTTCAAATTTGGTCAAGCAAAATTTCGNAGATAGGTTGGTAGGACACCTTCTCAGGCATGAAGGTCTAGTCAGAGACATATTAGAGGCAGAAACAGGAGTTAGGAGGGGCAGAGGTAGACCTAGATTAGATTAGTGTTCGCAAATAGTTAAGGATGTGGGCTGTTCTAGTTTTAGGGAAATGCGAAGATTAGCTCAGGATAGGCAAGGATGAAGGTGCGTGTCCACTGACGACCCTATGATGATGAAGATGAAGTTATTCTTAAAATTAACTGTTGTTTTATGACTCATACACTTTCTTCTCAAATTTAACTTTAAAATAACTGACAATGAAACGCCTTCTTGAACAAGATTCAGTATCGTTTCTTCTAAAATTGAATCGATGTTCATAATGAATTGTTTTGCTCCTTAAATTATGCTATCAGTTCCGCCTTTGTTTTTAACAAGAAAACGTGACGCACCTAAAATGACGCATTTTTATTTGTGAAACAGTGGCGTAGCATTCTCGTAAATATTTACAAGGTTCGTGACAGAGCCAAATGCGTTTTGAATTTATTGAGAAGTATGCAATTTAAATTCCAGCAATTCTTTTGATTTTCCCAATTTTTACGCGATAAGAAATGTTTAAGAGTTAACAAAATACTCATTACGTTTAATGGTTCACGTCTTTGCTCTGACGGATTTTAATTTTTAGTTGGCGGATTTTCAACGAAAGTGTTGAATTGAAACAGTTTAAACGTCCCTATAATGTTTATAAGCACTAAAAGTCCGCAATGTGACAAAATCATGCTTATAAGTTCTTGTTAGCTGATCAAAATAACAAATAATTGAATATAATACCTACTTTAAAATGTGTTCCTTCTGCAAATTTTAATTCAGTATATTGAGAATTTGATCACCACTACTTTTTAATCTATACATCATAGACGCGATCAACATCATTGGGATGTAATGTAGGGATAAATATACAGGGGCAAAAGATCGGTACGATTAGATTTACAGATGATACAGCAGTATTAGCATCTAGCAAGGAGTTAGAGATAGATTTAAATAAAATGGAAGCGGTATTGACAAAAGAGTATTGCATGAAAATAAAAGTAAAATAAAAATACTGGCATGCAACGGAAGAGAATGTAGGGAACGAGCGATTATAAAGATAGGAGACGAAAAAGTAGAAGTGGCCGATTTCAGGTATATAAAAAGTCAAATGATTCAGGACGGAAGGAGTAGTAGGGATATAAAGCAGATAGCGCAGGGTCGAGTCGCATTCAAAAAAAGAACTTCTATGTTCGCGAACAGTTAATTTATAAATTCGAAAAAGGTTGTTAAAGGTGTATGGAGCACGGCGCTGTACGAGTGCGAAACATGGCAAATGGTGTGGATACCATGGATAGAGAAGGTTAGAAATGAAGAGGTATCGCAAAGAGTAAGAGAACAGAGAACTCTATGGAAGTCAATAAGAAATAGGCGAGATAGGTTAGTAGGACCCTTCTCAGGCATGAAGGTCTAGTCAGAAACATATTAGAAGCAGAAACGGAAGTTAGGAAGGGTAGAGGTAGACCTAGATTAGATCACTGTTCGCAAATAGTTAAGGATATGGGTTGTTCTAGCTTTAGGGAAATGCGAAGATTAGCGCAGGACAGGAAAGATTGGAGGTGCCTGTCCAACCAGTCTTAGGACTGACGACTTTATGATGATGATGAGAATTTGATCGAGTGAACCTAAGGTCTTCGTCGCTTTGACATTTTTTTCCAGTTCATATATCGAAACTAGGGATAATATGCCTCTCGTAGAAAAACACCATAAACACCTACCTTTATATCTTTTACATTCCATTACTACGAAACTTCCTTTCTATTCCAGCAAAATAAAACACTTCCTTACCAAGACATTGTATTTATTTAANGTTCACTGAAAAGCATATCGTCAAACTCGCTAGGGTACATTTAGTTGAGGTAGAACCTGAAGGAAGATATGATGGTAGATTTTGGAAAATACTGAAAACAGCGAATTTAAATTTCAAAAAAAAAATTGCATTAAATAATGTATGGTGTATCATTAAAGACAGTACAATTATTGTAGGGGTAGATATGCAGGAGAAAAAGATTAGTATGCTTAGACTTGCAGATAATATAGCAGTATTAGCATCTAGGAAAGAGGAGTTAAAGACAGTTTTAAATAAAATGGAAGAGATATTGAGGAAACAGTATTGAATAAAAGTAAATAATTGTAAAACAAACATACTGGTATGCAAGGGAAGAAAAAGTAGCGAAAGGGCAAATAGAAGATGAAAAATTAGAAGTGGCTGATTTTAGATATTTAGGAAGTCAGATAAGTCAGGACGGAAGGAGTAGTAGGGATACAAAGCAGAGGATAGCGCAGGATTGAGTCGCCTTCAATAAAAAAAAGTCACTTCTATGTTCGCGAACGATTAATTTAGAAATTCGGAAAAGATTGTTTGGATCGCGGTGCTGTACGTGTGCAAAACATGAACGGTGGTCGCGGCGGAAAAGAAAAGATTAGAAGCGTTCGAAATGTGGTGTTACAGGCGAATGATGAGGACACCTTGGGTAGAGAAGGTTAGAAATGAATAGGTATTAGAAAGAGTAGGAGAACAGAGGACTCTATGGAAATCAATACGAAATAGGCGAGATAGGTTAGTAATTATTGTTCGCAAATAGTTAAAGATGGGGGCTGTTACAGTTTTGGGGAAACGCGAAGATTGGTCAGGATAGGAAAGAGAGAAGGTGCATGTTCAACCAGTTTTTGGACTGACGATCTTATGATGATGATGATGGTGTATGGATAGAGTAGGGGACAATTGACGCCCGAAGAATTATCAGTATTAATTATTTTGCTTTCCTTTTTTTCAGTTTTCAGTACTGTAGAGGAAGGTGTAATTTCGTAATCATTTTTAGTCAAATTTAATCATCACTAGAATTTTTTTTTTTAATTTGTTACCATTGTATCTATATAAATACTATCGGAAAAACCTCCTTCTTTTACCAAGTTTTGCGTTCTTTTCAAAACTGATTTGTATTTTTGTGTGTGCGTGTGTGCGTGTGTACGTTATTCCTGGGCCTAAAAAAGGGGAAAAAAATATTCCATTTAATTAGTTTATGAATGAAGTAAATATTTTCTGTACTGCAATTAAAACTTCATTTTTTTCACTTAATAAAACACATTTTTATACCGTCGTAGGTATCTATAAAATTTTATTTAACGTAAGTATTAACCATTCGATAAATTTAAATGAAAAGAAACTACTAACAGCCATTTTTCTACATGCCTACCTAATTGTAATATCTTTTATATTATATCTACCAACCTAAATACATTTAAATACGATTTTAAACGAATAAACACAGTTATCACACATTTATAAATGTAAATTGTCACATAATAACACGCATTTATAATGAATTATTATTATTACAATCCAGTAAATATTTACCTACTTCAAGAGAGTAATTTTTTGGTTTTAGTACCTTCTGTGTACATATTACTTCTTAGTTTCATTCCTATCTTCTCTCTCTTTAATTTTATTTCCATGCCCATCTCCTTTGATAATAACGACCATATTGAGCGTAAGAACGGCCAATATGGCGTCCAGCGGGTCCATGAATCCTCTCTGTAGCCATTTTGGAATGGTGACTCTCGCGTGCGAAAATCCTAACTTCTGCAAAATGTAATCGATACCATATGGTTCTATGTATTTCCCAGCAACGCTCAGCAAACGAACTGTGGGCTCAAGGTGCCACGTTTTGCAACTGAAATTTCGCCAGTCTTTCGTGAAAGGATCGTCGTATATTTTTTTGACTTGAGACGATTGACTGCTCGTTGAAGATGACGAAGACATGACTGGACTGGATTTGTCACCGTCTATGCTCACACGTTTTTCCATATAGGAACTCATCTGTAAATTAAATTTGTTTGACTGTGATTAGATTGATGTCAAAATCTCGTAAAAATGGAAACATTAAAATGATCTTTTAGAATTATTACTAATAACATAAAAAAAGATGGAAGACGACTGCTATATTTCAAATGTGATGTAGTGCCTACATGGATTCCAGATTGATGTTTTACAAAATATTTTCTGATAAAGGTACAAATAACAAAAATGGAAACAGATTCACTTACCAGTTTTTCTCTTCCTTGCAAATATGACGTAATCAGATCGTGAAGGAAAAAGAACGCTTCAGCATCCACCGTGACAAAAATGTGATCTTCGAATTCTGTGATAAAACTGCATTCCACAACCGGTTTTTCCCCTGCAAAAGAAAACATTAAACCACATTGCCCTTTTCTCTTCACCCAAAAATTGAATCGTCTGATAATACCTGATAAATCGGGAATACTAAAACTTTGTAAATGTTCAGTCTTGAGGTGTATTTGAAGACTAGGAAGTGCAAATATCACTTCTCGATTATGATTTGGATCAACCAACTTTTGTCCTCCTCGATTCCTTTCCATTGAGTTGTTGCCATCAATTTTTTCTTTCTCCAGTGATGGGAATCGATCCACTTCTACGTTATAAAAATAAAATAAAGTAAAACTCATTCAGAATTATGAATTTAGAAAACTTACCATCGANTTAGAACCGAAAATAGATTTTGGATAAAAATTGTTTTAAATAATTAAAACCTTTAAAATTATTTCTTATTACATCATGTAAAATACACGTATGATGTATAATATGCAAATTCTTTTCTTTTTCGTGTATGATGAGGATACTGTGGATAGAAAAGTTTAAAAATGAGGGGGTATTAGAAGAAATAGAAAAACAGGGGGCGCTATGGAAGTCAATAAGAAATAGGCAAGATAGGTTGGTAGGACAATTTCTCAGGCAAGAAGAAATAATTAGAGACGTATTAGAAATAGAAACAGGAACTAAGAGAAGCAGAAGTAGATCTAGATTAGATTACTGTTCGCAAATAGTTAAGGATGTGGGATGTTCTAGTTATAGGAAAATACGCATATTAACTGAGGATAGGACACAGTGGAGGTGTATGTCCACCCGGGGCGCAGCCTGAATTTACCGCTCTTCCTATTTTTACAATTATGCCTTTTGCCCTCCCCCCTATCTTTGACTTAAATTCTTCGGGATTGCAGTCTCTTCTGTCTTCATTTCGTCCGTCTCAACTTTCTCACCAGAATCACCACCCATACATTCCCACGATTCCTGAAAGCGGGCTGAAGAGGGCCTTCCGCCCTACCTTCCGGCATAGTCTGGAGGGACTACCCGCCCACCAGCATTACTGGTTGGTGGGAATGAAACACCCAAAAGTTTTTTTTTTAGTAAAAAGGTGTAAAAAGCGTTTATTATTATCGAAAAAATTGAAAATACATGAGATTATTTACAAATAGCTCTCCTTATACCAAAAGGATATTGAGGATTCATCTTAGGATTTATAAAGATTTCGGCTCTTCAAATAGATTATACCGGATCTTCAGTATTTTTATTGTCGTTTTCTTTCCATACTGTTGCAATAAGTTTCAATAACTGAGGATTCTGCATCATTTTGCTGATGGCTGGCTTTTATCAAATTTACAATAATATTATGTAGTGCTAAATGTAAGTAGAATATAAAAGGTGTCTTGCTTATAAATATACGTACACATAGGCGAAATCTGTAGTACACCAGACTCATGTTTCTGTTTTTATGCAATTGTTACAATTCTGCGACCTATATTTTTATACTATGGGAGCTTAGACTAAAATAACGGCCTTCATCCCTATCACAAAGTGAACTGTTAGGGTTCGACCATTCGACTTTCAGGTTTTGTTATATGGGCTTGCCGTTTTTTCGATTAGCTACAAAACAGCTTTTCTCGGTAGACCCGATTCTATCTAATACTGAAGAAATCATTTTTGCCGCCCCCACATTTGTACCGCCGGGGGCCCGTGGTCCCCTATGTCCGCCCCCCCCCCATGCTATACAGAAAAAAGATCAAACTGTGGTTACCTTACTATTTGGGACGATAATTAGCTTTACTAACAATGAAAAATTTAGTTTCTAAAGTCAATTGAGAAAAATGGAACCCTTACAGTTTTGTCATACCCGTCTGTCAGAAACACCCTTGTAGTTCCTGCGGTTTTGGGTATATCGTAATATACCAATCTCATTTTACATACTTATTCTACAAAGTAATTCCAATACCAATACCAAACTTTTACTGGTTTTCTAAAGAGATCAACAATGAAGATATTCAAATATTTGCATATTTCAGTAGATTAAGTATTTTCCTAACGAGCTTAATAGTTGGGAATATATACGTAGACTGTTCGTTCCTGAACAGCAATTTATCTTCTATTTAATCGAATTTTGGAGGTCAAAGTGAAACGTAACAACTTATCGCATACGTAATAACGGTACCACTGGGATGACGTCTGAATAAGAGCGTGTACCGTGCCGCCAGCGTCGACAGATTACGTTATCCATTACGTTAGGTCAATAAAAAAAAAATCAAAAATAGTAAGTACAGATGAACCGAGCTCTCCGACCTTGCCCAGCCGTACCTACATGGATGATAGCCTTGGCCGGGAAGCCGGGGATATATCTGGGTGAAGTTCATTGAGAAACCTCCACAGCCGAGGCCGTGCTCTTGAAGCGAGGTCTCACTGACGCGCGAAAAAAAAAATCAATGCCAAAGCCTTGGCCCAATGTCGCGAGATTTGTACGCGCGAACGAGGTCCCGATATAATAAAAGCAAACTTGAACTTGAAATAGGCCCGAAGGTGAAGCCGGAATTGTCGAAAAGCGATGTTTCGTTCAGAGCATAAACCACGGGTCGATTGTGCGGCCTTGCGCGCACATTTAACGAACGGCTTTTTTAAAAAATCTGATAAGTATACGAGGCTCGATCGAAACGAGTTTTTTTTTCTTGGTAAATCATAGAAATAGTTATTTATTTGACTTTATAATTATCAAACGTTAATGGGAAATCAATTTAATATCTTTTCGCAATACATTACCTGAAGTTAATGACGAAATATTTATTGTTGCTGTCACACCCTCGCCGGGAATCGAACCCGGGCTTTTAACGTTACGTACTCTACCACTAAACTACATACGATTGGTAAGGTGAGGTAATCCGTAGTGGAAAGAAATTAAGTTGATATCAAATTTATGTTCCATAATTATTAATCGTAAGATATTAACTTTCTTAAATAAGTATTGATTTATTTGCCTGATGCAGCCGTTTTCCCTCGAAAAGGTTTGACGTAGAAATCGGTCATTTTAAATTATTTTTAGGTATGTCATGTGGCATGTTGAATTTTCTAATATTTTTGAAAATAGTCTCGAAAATGTCAGTGGAATTTACCTAAACGTTAAAGGAAAACTGTACCGATGACTTTGTTTAATAGACTTTTTAAAATTTTAAAACGTTTTTTAATGCTGAAGTCAACAATAGAAAAATGTATGCTCTAAAATCTAAACTGGTACAGACAAAGGTAGAAAGAATAGAAAAAGAACGGAAGAAATTTTAATGGATGACTAATTCAGGTTTAGAAGAAGTAGGGGAACATTTTACATGTAATAGTTGAAACCGATAGAAAAAAAAAAGAACATAGAATTTGTTGATCAAGAAAAAACTTGATAATTTTTTATGGGAAAATATTATAAAAATACTGAACAATGTAGGGATGTTTATATAAAGAGCAACAGGTAGTTATAGACTTTGGACAATAAAGTAAAGAAGTAAACATTAGGAAGATTTTGTTAAAGACAGGGCAGCATTACGAATCTAGCATAAAACGGGTAGGATAGCCTTAAATAAAATAAGATAGGATAAGAATAGAAGACGACGTATAACAAGTTGGATAATTTAGAATGAAAAAAGCGATAGAAATGTAAACTGGGGTCTTTTGCCAAAAAAAAAAAGAAATTACGTCTGTTTATCTGTACCTGTGCAAAACGTGGGCGTTGAAAGATATTAAAAGTAGGTAGAATAGGTCACAAGAAGAGGTATCAGAAGGAATAGGAGAACAGAAAACGTCATGAATGTCAGTAAGAAATAGACGAGATAGGTTTTGTAGAACATTTTTTGTGGCATGAACTAATTACGAACTTCTTTGTAGTTTTCGGAAAAGATTGGCTCAAAACCTTATGAGGATGATAGTAACGGTTTTTTAATAGATTTTTTTATGTAGAATTTTTCTATTTTCCTTTTTCAAAATATTTTGATCAAAACAATTCAATTTAATGAAATACGTAATTTCAAAAGAAAACTGAGTCCAAAATTTTTTAGATGATACCCTATAGTTAGTAACTGTGATAAAACAAATTAGGAAGGACAATACATTAATGTTACACTATTATATAATTTACTAATGCATTTGGCATCAACGTTTCCGCCGCACGTAGTAATAATCATACATTTATCTAATCAATATTCACCTCACAGAAAATGCTATTATCTTACATATTCGTCAGTTTTTCCTTGCAAAACAAATCATATCTACCTAGTAGATATACTTTATTTAGAACTGAAAACAGGAAATTAAATTAACTTTACCTGCAAGGCGATCACATTACACATTACCTTTTTATAGTGTAAAAATTATTAACTCTAAATATAACCATGGGTAATAAAAAAATTGCATTTTTACTAGTTGTGTGAGAATATATAAAACAAAGTAACTTATAAAAAGATCTAAACAAATTATTTCCTTGAGTTTCCCCTGTTTGAAATTAAAGTTATCTAACTTGGAAAAAGTAACTTCTGATTTTTAAAAAAATTGGAGAGCAAAAACGGTAACACATAAAAGAAACAATGTCTGTAATACAGTTTTGATAATTAATTTTATTCCTGTTATTTTCACTCATTAGTAAATTCCCTGCAATTCGATATTTTCAAGCTAGAGTCATAAAAGCGACTTTTTCAGATCTGCTAAAATAAGCATGGGTGAAAAATTTCTCTTTTTAACAAAAATTTCAATTTCTCATTGGGCAGGTACTTAAATTAGATAAATTAAAGTGAACTTACTTGAAAAACGTATAACTGCTCGGCTTTGGTCTGATCCCAGTTTTCCTTTTAAATTTTCTTGCTGAAAATTTAACATTCTCGATCTTGACAAATGGAACTTGACGAACTCGACGTTTATTGATAATGAATCTTTTCTTTCACTGTCCGATAATGGTGACCATTGCGCTTCTTTCAAAGCGGACTTTTTACCACCGTAGGGATGAAAAATATAAACCGAAAAGTCAGACATACATCCAGTAACACTAAGCCCACCCACGGCAGATGCGGCAGTGTTGGGAGTATCGTCACCAAATTCACTATAACAATGATTTTTTAAGATGCTACAAAAGGATAAACAATTTTGCCCAATTGATTCTTTTAAAAACATATTTCATACCTAACGAAGTTTCTAATTTTTTTTGACCACGTCGTTATCGTAAAATTGGTGCATATAATCTTTTTTTTAAGTTCATAATTTTTTAGCTTCACTTTTTTCTGCAACTTCCAATTTACGAAAATATGAAGATAGACATAAATAAGAACTTGATAGAAAATGTATGCATAAAGTTGAGTTCCCGCTCAGAAGCATATCGTCACTCTTAAATTGAGGGGCTACTCTTACTTTTGAATGTAAGCAGTTTGTTGCGTCAGAGTATAATTTCATTCATGCATATCAACATTTGACTCAATATTCAAAGAACGAGTAGATCCTCAAGAAAAGAATTCTTGAAATTCTACTGACTATTTTATGGATTTCAAATGGATTGTCTACTCAGCAGTCAGTACTCTACATTATGTGTATCATTTAATGCTTCAATTTTCAAAATTCGAGAGTCACCCTAATGTATATACGTACATACACCAACGTAATCGAGAGCATAGAGATATGAAGTGTGGCGCTCCACCCTTTCACTTACGAGAAACAATGAAGTAGCATACTTCCTATCTCTTTACTGACTCCACGTATACATACGTGTTTTACGGGTGAAATGAGCCGTCCCTAGAAGTTGCAATAGCTCATATTCGAAGAAGATTTCTTTAAGTTACTCGAATTTACATAAAATATTTCCCCAAAAATCTTTTTAGAAATGAAAAGTGTATATATACAAGAATAATTAAAGTACGAATGAAAATAAGGAACATCTTTCAAGTCTCACAAGTCTAAAGGTATCATAACTAACTAAATATTAAGCCAATTGTTCTAAAGTTCATAGAAAATGGAAAGAAACTAAAAACATTAAAAAATGCCTGTTAATAATTAGGTCAATTATTGTTTTATTTAGATAGAGCCAACACATATTTAGAGTTAGTTTTTGCCCAAATTCTTTAAACATGAAATATGATTCAGAAACACTGAATTTAAATCGTCCTGTAATTTCCAAACTACTGTTCCATTTTAAAACAAAATGAGTGACACAATCAATATTTCAACATTTTATGAATATTTAGAGATAACAATAATAACATAATGAAAAAATTGCCTACCTCTGTAAAAGTTCATCTTCGGCCCTTTTAGAACTGAAAATTATATCGAGAGAGGGAAGTTGCAGCATGCACTCCACTCTTGAGACGGGAAGGCAACTGAACCGAAACGTGCTGGGCTGCATGTGGAAGTAGACGATAACATCTACAGGAAAACTGGCATACACGTACTGACCATAATTTATAGCGTCTTGGTCAGATAACAAAGACGTATTGGCTGAAAAAAAAAGAACAGTTAAAATAACGCATGTATTAGGGTTAAAAAGAAAAACTTACTTGTGGTGTTAAAATTCGTTTTGGCTGGTATGGGTTCAAGAGTTTGTTCCAAGAATTCCAGAATGTGCGGGCTTATGATGGTTTCTTCAGGAATGCTTTGTAACGTCATCCAAGCGAACAAGCTGGCTTTTTTCACTCCCGATTTTTTAAAGCCCAACCCTCCAGCACCTGACACCATGTACATTCCATGAGGGGGTGTCACACTCATTTGAAACTGAGGCATGCTGTCTTCGCTACTTCTGCTGGAAGATGATGGAGTACAGGCGTAGTTGGGGTTGGAAATACCATGAGAAGACGCAGAACGTTTGAGATCTGCCACTGCATAATCACCAGATGAATGGGGTTCGTCCTAAAATTTTTCAAGAAACAAAATTAAATAAAGGTCAATTGTATTACAAAGGATATCAAAAATTACCTTAGTTCCATTTGTGGCTTCCACTGGAGAATTTCTGAAATCGTGTCTTCTAAATGCGTTTTCAATTCTTTCTTCTTCAGATTGGGTAGTTTTCGGTGAAAACGAATCACCAAAGCCTCTTGGAGGAAATGATTGAGAAAAATCGGGAGATTGCGGTGAAAAAGGTTCAGATGCAGTTTGATTGCCATTTTCAACATCATCCAGAATCACCTAATACCATTATAAATAAATATTCACAATAGTAAAAAGTCTTTTGGTGTATCTTACTTTTGACTGATAATGTAGTTTAACGTCCATTCCTGGTATATGAAATATAGTTAAATCAACGAGTGACGTACTATGTGGAGTATTTCTTAATCTAGAAGAACTAGCAGTTGCAGTAAGTTTATCCTTATTTCTTCTAGAAGTATCAGGACTCCCAGCGGGAACCGGAAACTCCAGAAGCCCAGCTGAACAGCTTCTATCCTTCCTCATCCGATTCCTGAAGAATTAAATCACAATTAATTAGAAACAAAAAAAAATCCTTACTAAATTTCTTACATCTTTATTTCTTCTTCTTTTGTGCTGTCTTTCGTATGAAGAACGCACTTCCCGCTATTTATAAACACTTTTACATCGAGTTCCAAGTCAATGTTGGGTTCTTGCTGCTTTTGGCTAGTTGAAGTTTGACTCAAACCACCTTGAGTGATATTTGATGTTGAGTGTTGATCTCTCGTAAAGGAGCCAATAAAAGATGATCCTTCATCAAACTCATGAGAAGTGGGCAATTTTTTACGGAGTTCCACCTTTTCTCCGTCCACGTTTAAATGGCTTACCCAGTCTAAGTTTCCTTCAGGAAGACTGAGTTCAGAACTTGCAGTTGGCAGGGATGATTGTCTGAATGTTTGAAATAAATTTTTAAATAGAGGAAATAACAAAAATGGAACTTTTTGGAAAAATTCAATCAAACAGTGTTAATGTAGTTTCAAATCGGATGTTATCAGACAACAGTTATTACAGTTGCAACGTCCTACCTTTGGAGAGAGAGGAATGCAGAGTCTACCATGCTCTATTATCAGGTAAAAAATTTCACATTCAAACTCGGAAAAATATTTTATCTACGGTTTACAGTAATGTCTGAAGTGGAAATATATACGAGGTATGTTCAAAAAGTATCGCCAATTTTGCGTTTCTTCAAAAATTATTCATTTATTCAAGAATATCTATTTTATTCAAAAATTCGTGCACAAGCAACGTTGTGTGAGCAGGGGCGTTATCATGGTTCAAAAGCCAATTTTTGTTCTTCCACAAATCAAGGCGTTTCTGCTGGATTGCTTGGTACAAATTGCGCTTAAAAGGTAATATTCCTCATTGACCGTTCTACCTTGTGGCAAAAACTCATGATGCACCACGCCCCTGCAATCGAAGAAAACTGTAAGCAAAACCTTCACATTCAACCTAACTTGGCGCGCTTATTTCGGTCTTGGCTCGTGCGTAAACTTCCATTGGGATGATTGAGCTTTGGTTTCCATGTCATAACCATAAACCCATGATTCGTTACCAGTTATGACCCTCTGAAGTAAAAAACAGCTCCTTACCAATGTTAATGCGATGCTGTTTTTGGTCGAAACTGAGCAATTTTGGTACGAATTTCGAGGCGACCCGACTCATGCCCAAATCATTGGTAAAAATCGAATGACATGAGCCAATCGATATGTTTAGGTCTTCAGCAACTTCTCTAACGGTGATTCGACGATTGGCCAATTCTCTTTTCATCAATTTTTTCGTCTGTTAGTGACCTGCTCGGGCGTCCGGCACGCTTTTCGTTGTTCACATTTTCTCGGACCTCTGAGAACATTTTGTACCACCGATAAACGTTGCTTCGGTCCAAGGTAGCTTCACCATGTGCCACAATCAACATTCGGAATGCGTCCGCGCACTTTTTGTTTTTCACACAAAATTTGATTCATTTTTTTGGAATAGGCAAAAATCGAAGACGAGCCAAAATACGTACAAGCAAGGCAGCAGTCAAAAATTAACTGACTATTTAATATGACTGAACTTGAGTAGCCACCAAAAAATCGAAAATCGAATATATCTAACTCGCGGAAATTCAAAATACGCAATACTTTTTGAACAGACGTGATATAACATCTAGATGNTCAGTCAGGATGTCATACTTTCTGTTACCCTTATAGTATTCGGAAATATCTCCCGTAGCCATAGAAAATCTACAAAATTGGCACTATTGCAATATCAAACTATAAAAAGCGTACTATAAACCTAAGGCCTAATTAAAGAAGCTCATTATACGTCATTAGTTGCAAAGTATCAATCTTTTATTTGAACTTCCTCAATTTCCAGAAATCATAGGTATGATCAAGAATTTAATGAAGTTTAAATAAGTCGATATTGCAACAGTTTGAAATAGTAGTTGTTCCCTGGGATCCTATACTGAAAATAATTAATGGATCTGATCTCGAAAACGGGCCAAATTATACTGTGTAAGATATTACCAAAAAATTGAATTTTCTAAATACCTGTGAGTGATAGTTTTAGTGTCTGGCATGGCTGCATACAAATCCAACAGGTGATAGATGGTTTTCCAGCATTTTCCTGTACCAGTGCTTCCCCTTTCTGAAGACACGTGGGATATATGATCCAGGGCCGATCCAGAAGGGCTGCTAGTGAATGCCGGCGTTCCAACCCCTTCATTTAAATTCACGTAGCCCTTCACATTTTTTCCAGTCGATCTGAGTTTTAGAGTAAACGTTTGAGGTCTTGACCTGATGCTAGGAGATGGTGAGACAGTCGGTTTTATCTGTGATGTCACTGAGCCGACATCAGACGTTTTGGATTTACCACCACCAATGACATTTATCTCTTGAATATCTGAGGTGCTTGATTGGTGTTTCAAGTCAGTGTGATCGCTCACACTTGACTTTGGAGGTCGAATTTCAACAGGTTGCTGATTGCGTAACTCATTCTGAGTATCCTTTACGTTTTGATACATGTTGCTGATCTGATGGAGAAGTCTAAGGAGGGGCATGTTTACCCTCTGTGTTATAAATTTGACCTCAATATTGAAATGCAACACGGTGCTTGTGTGTTTTTTCAATTGTCCACGCGATATGTAAAGTACGTTTCTTGCTTTTATCATGTCATTTACTGTTACGTCTGCTTTTCTATCGACTTCGACCCCTACTGAAACTTTTTCGCACGTGAAAGCAGATGATTCATCTAAAAGTTGACAAGTGGTCCCTTTAAAATCCTCAGTTTATAAAGAGATTCAAGAAAAGAGACTAGAGCTGAATGTGCAGAAATCGATGACCACGATATGAAAAACACCAGTAGAATAAGAAAAGAAGAAGGAGGATAAATAACAAAGCATGAGGTATTGAAAATTCTATTCCAATAGAATTTTAGAAGATAGTCAAACGAAATTATTTGGTATGTTACTAGCACATAGTCAATGGATTTGCATGGTGGTGGAAAAGGTCATCAACTATAATAGAAACACTAGATACAAAGCAATGAAAGCAACGATGAAGGCACCGAAGTACAAAGTTTTAAAAAAGAGTAAATATGTGGAGATTTATGACAAACATTGGAGAAGATTAATTAGAAGTAATAACAAAAGGAATTTAGAGCAAATAAGTAAAGACCTTTAACAACAACAAAGAAGTGTAAGAGTAAAAAAGTACTCAAGAAAATTAAAAAAATAAAGTACAGTAAGTAACTATGGGAAAAGACGAGAAATGTAGGGAAACTAAATTGGAAGATTCCTTCTTTTCTCAGATACTGGAAACTTTTACACCTATAAGTTGTTAACTTACCTGTATTTATTTCAACAGTCAACCGCGTCCTAGATTTACCCTTTCCTTTCTTTTTATCGCTCTTTCCATGTTCGGATACCACAATGTCTATTCTCATTGTATCCATATGACCCACCAATGATAAATTAGATCCTAAAGCATCCAAAGAGGTCGGATTACTTCCGGCACCTGTAAAAATTATAAGTTCATCCAATAGTCGATAAACTCAACGATTTCTGGACAACTTACTGGATGAACCGGTTAATGTAGTTACTAACTGTTTAGACATTACACCCAGGCTAGAGAGAAGGGGCTGAAATATAAAATGGGCATCTAATAATTGTAAAGAGTCTTGCATAGGGTACAAAGCAACGCATCCGTCTTCTTCTCCAGGTGCTTCACCAGACGAGTCAGTTTGTAAAGTGTCAATTTTTGATTCCATAAAACCTGATTTAATTAAAGAAAAGTCTATTTATCTTTATTTTTTTAATCGCAGACACAACTTTTTTAACATTCAACATTTCTTAAGACAACAAAAGCTACTTATATACATATGATTTATGTGAACACAACGTCAACAATATCTAAATTTAATGAAAGAATGTTTAAGATTGTTTGAAATGTTCTGATCCAACGTCAATTAACGACAATGAGACGTTACATTATTCCCCAAATGTTTTGATAATTAAATTCTTAATCTTCCTTCAACCTGCGTGCCAAAGCGTTTTAAACAAAATAAACGGAAGCTTCTGTGTATTTGCAAATGCATTTAACTTGGGGTTATCCGAGTATAATACCTTTGAGAGAACCAATATTCTCTAATTGCTTTCCTAACTTGTCCTGTTTGGCCATCCAGCTGTAGAGATCCTCAGTGGAACGTGTATGATTGATATTCCTGTGTAAAGGACTCGATGGCAAATCGGGACTTGAATGAGTAAAAACACTCTGGTCTGAACCTAAATTTACTATTGTTCTGTCCTCCTTCAATGTACCATAACCTACTGATTTAACGTTACAAATAATAATAATTACTATTTAATGTTGTGATTCTAAAAACTAATTCTCGTCTTAGCTTTTCTTTGTGCTGCTATATACCTCTAAGAATAGAGGTCTAATATAGTTGGGACTATCAAAATTGGCAAAGCCTGCAATAAATTATCTGTGTGAATGGACGTATCTCCTTTCTCGTTTCTACTTGGGACTATAGTCATTTGCTGAGTTTTGAACACGTCTTGTTAAATTATCAAATGCTTCATGAGTAGTGCAGACAAACTGAAGAAAGATAACCGAACAAAGTAAGTGGTGCAGTAGTTAGACTTTGCTTAGGTACGCAAAAGATCAGAGTCTGCTTTACAACTGCTTGGCTGGAAGTATATCTTTAAACATGGATCTTTGCTTTCCAAAATTCTTGAGAATGCTAAAATTCTACTTGTCTGCATCTCTTTCTGTTACACATCGGTTGGTGTAATGTTATTCATTTTTATTTATTAGTGTCCGCTTCAATTCCTACCTGACATAAAAAAAAAACTTTTGGATGTTTCATTCCCACCAGCCAGTAATGCTGGTGGGCGGGGAAGTCCCTCCGGACTATGCCGGAAGGTAGGGCGGAAGGCTCTCTTCAGCCTGCTTTCAGGAATCATGGTAATGGGTGGGTGGTGTTTAGGGTGGGAAAGATGAGACGGACGAAATGAAGACAGAAGAGAGTGAAAGATTATATGTGGAATATTACTGCCTCAGCATTTGCCTAAGTGATCCAAAGAAACCACAGAAAAACTTGGACCAATACAGACGGACCCGGAATAGAACCGGCGTCCTCCCGAATGCTAAGCAATGGTCTAAACCTTTAGGCCATGCCGTTCAATCTACCTGACATCTCTTTTTTATGCTTACGATATTCCTCTCAACATTCAGCAACCGCTCTAGTCTAGTTAGTAAGTTGAAAGAAGAAAATAAATGCTACAGTTTTATTGCGGACTAGGCCAATTTTGAATGTCCCAAACTCTATCTATCTAAAAACAAATGAAAGCTAACATAGTCATGAGAGGATCAGGATTTGGGACGATAGGCTCATCAAAACTTACTCTCCTTGAAATATCCACATATGTGTCGGTACAAGACTCAAAGGTAAAAGCTTAAAATTCTACAAATGTATAAACTATGAAGTCAAAGAGGGTAGGTCCATTTCAACGTTACAAGGGACCATTATTTTGAACAGATAATATTGTGCTAATAGAGTATTAGGTGTTAGGTAGTTATTAGCATCATGCAGAAATAAAAAACCTTCAACAATAAGGCGTCACCATTATGTATCTTACACCTCGGTGAATTTCTTTTTATTAAAAATTTCTTTGAGGAAAGCCAATACTTTTTAAACAGTTAAATATTTGAGGAAGAAGGAAGGAAGTATAGAGATAATTAGAAATAGTTTTGTCTTTTGTAACTAATTAAAATTTATTACCTATTCAAAAACGGAATGTATTGTTTCACATTTAAAAAACCATACCGAAAATTGACAATGTACCAAAATACAAAACGTTGGTGTTGGTTTTTTAAATAGACTCTTTACTGTCCCTATACTGGCTTTGATTTTACACTTTCTTATTAATATAAGGGGAAGATATGGCAGTTCTAGTAGAAACTTTTTGGAAGAAAATGGTACGAACACGATGGGCATGTTTTATAGTGTAATGCTGAATATAATAAATGTACATCTATGTGTGCGTGTATGTCTGAGTGATATTATATTATACAAGGTGCATTTTAGTAATAAACTTACAAAGGTCATCATTAGTTCTTCTTTGAGAAAACAAATTAGCGTTGGTTAATAAGGGAAATACCACGCTTGCTCTAGTACTGGAAGGTAATGTTGTTGCTTGTAAAGTTTTGTTACGTCTACGCTGGGGTACTGTTAGAAAATTAAGACAGTTATTTACTTATCTACAGCAAACAATTTGCAAAACTTCTTATAAATAATCACAATTACAGTCTCAGATCCTTATTACACGAGTACAAGAAAAATAAAATGTTTTTACAAACAAGTCATCTCCCGTTACCACAAAACCCATGCATTTATTTGAAATTTAATTCTAATTGTGAAATTGTTTCCAATTAGTACCAATTCCGAAAATATATTGAAAGAATTAATTGCTAAAGTTTAAAGAATTAGTCGTTCCAACAATTATATTACTAAATTACCAATTTTATGTTTAATGCTTTTGACGACTTTACAAGTTTCTCCTCCAAACTTTTGGGTTTTGCAGTGGTCATTAATTTTTAATACACTTATAAATATTTGACTGTACTTTCGCAGTTTACCAACAGATTATTGAAGATGGAAAGTGCGGTGAAACGTTTGGTACTTAAAACTGAAGACCACAAAATAAAACACAAAAGCATGGATAAGAAACACTAGTTTTTCGAGGGCGGTTCAATAAGTACCCGTGTTAAAAATAAACACCCTTTTTTTTTATTTTTTTTTTTTTATTTTTCAACATAGTCCCCTTTTAGAAAGATACACTTCTCCCAACGACCCTGCCATTTTTTTACCCCTCCAAAAAATAAGATTTGTCGAACTCTCCAAAATCCCCCCTGTCTCGGCGATGACTTCCTCGTTTGAGCTAAATTTCTTTCTCGCTAGTCATTTCTTCATGTTAGAGAACAAGATGAAGTCGCAGGGAGTCATATCGAGTGAGTACGGGGTGTGCGGCATCAAATTCATAACGTAATTCATGCAGTTTGGCCTCAACAACTCCTGATGAATTTGCCGGTGCGTTATCGTGTTGAAAAAGAACCTTCTTTTTCGTCAAATGCGTCCGGGTCTCCTTCAATTTTTTGTCGAAGCGGTCCCATAACTAACTGTAGTATTGTCCAGTGATCGTTCTTCCTTTTCCTAAAAAATCCGTAAAATGATTTCCTCGGTAACAACGTTTGCCAGGCATCCTGGTCGCTCCTATCAAAAACGGATCTTTGCCCACGTTTAAATTCGTTGAAGCAATATCTAACTGTGGTCGTAGATGGCGAAATGTCTCCATAAACAGTATCCAACTTTGTTTTCATCTCCTTGCATTTTTTCCCATCCAAAAACAAAAAGCGAGTTACCGAACGATACTGCTCTTTTTCCATCTTAGCGAAACACGTCTCAGTCGAATGGCTGCCAAATCCAAACTAACCTATCAATCAGTCTGAAATTCGTTTTGGGGTGGTTTGATAGATGGCAGCACACGATGACAACACCAATTTCCCACAGGAACATCCTCTGTCTTCAAACCCGGGTACTTATTGAACCGCCCTCATATATATTTTATACCAACATTTGGCATACGATATACACGTATACAATTATTATACATATATGTTGTATGATATAAGTTGTAATAGAATATTGACACTAACCTGGTGGACTAGGAGAAGTTAAAATACTTTCTATACCAGTCGAAACAACTGCAACTTGCGGGGAAAGCAACGATTCCGGTCCACTGATTCTCGGAGATGTCGAAGGAAGCTTGAAATCTTTCGCTGATAAACCTACATAGTTATAGAGAATTGATAAGGATATGTCTTAATCCTTGTTTAAGTAGGTAGCTATGTTAATTACAGAACACGTAAAATAGCACCAAATGCACTAAACCAAATAAAGCTAACGAGATGTGCACAAAAATTAAGGATAAAAGTAAGAGCATGATAATACAAAGGAGATAGTGTACATACGTAATCAACAGGTTGGAATTTATGGAAACTGAATTTAATTAAAACAAAACTATGTTAAGTTTTTCACAAAGACGCCTTCCATTTTAAAAAATATGTTTGTATTTTGTATTATGAATGCATTTTTCAGAACAATTTTATATTTAGTATTTGGAATAGAATCCGCTTCATGTTTTCCATTTTCTATTTCGAAAACGTCATAACAACCGTTTTTAATGCCAGGTCCTATTTTTTTTCCCAAATGTGATTCAGCTAATTTCTTTTTGCTAATTAATAAAATTGTAAGTATGCTCTTTAAGTCTTGCAATACATTAGTTCTACTAACGAAGTGTACACAAAATTCTTCACGACACCCTTAATGTAAAAAGAATTTGTACGCTATAAATGCCGCACGATCTCAAAGTTGAACAAGAGGAGGCCAGAGTGAACTGGTGTAAGAAAATGTTGAAAATGATACTTCAAATAAGAACAATAATATTGCTACTGGTGACGAAACCTGGCTATATTAAATTGATGTACTTTCGAAAAACAAGGATAGAGTTTAGCTGTTCGAAAATGAGCAAACGAAGAAAATAGTAATTGCTGTATTTTTTACACGGCGAGGTATTTTGGAACGAAGAGTGTTGAAAAGAAGTCAGTTCTACGCTCGCGAACGATTAATTTAGAAGTTCGAAAAAGATTGTTAAAGGTGTATGTTTTGAGTGCGGCGCTGTACGGGTGCGAAGCATTGATGGTGGTCACGGCGGAAAAGAAAAGGTTAGAAGTTAATAAAAAATAGGCGAGATAGGTTGGTAGGACACCTTCTCAGGCATGAAGGTCTAGTCAGAGACATATTGGAGGCGGAAATAGGAGTTAAGAGAAATAAAGGTAGACGTAGGTTACATTAATGTTCGCAAATAGGTAAGGATGTGGGATTTTCTAGTTTTGTGGTAGGAAGGAGTGGAGATGCATGTCCAACCAGTCTTAGGACTGACGACCTTATAATGATGATGATAATGAGTGTTGGAAAGTCAGCGTACTGTAACCGCCTCCTGCTTCCTGGTACATAAACGAATGTTTGTCCAAAGTTTGTCACAAGCTCCAGGAAATTCGACCAAATTTGAGAATGGACAATTGACATTTTCATCACGACCTGCGCATCGATTACATAACACTGTCAAATTTTTGAATAGCAGTGGTGTTAAAGTACTTGAACATTCTGCTTATAGCCCAGACGTTACTCTTTTTCCAATCTTTAAGGATCAGTTGAAAGAGAGAAGGTTTCAAACAGATACTGAACTTTTAGCTACTTGGAATCAGACCTGGGCAGATCTCCCAGAAGGAAAGTGGAACATTTTTAATTATTGGTTTTTGCGTATAACTAGGTGCAGAAACTGTAATGGAAATTATTTTGAAAAACTGTAAAAATAATAGTTGTATTGCAAAGCTTATCTAGTGACCTACGGATGTATGGACTTTTGATTATTCATTTCGGTGTAAGCCTTTTATAAACATATGTGCACGGTTATATAGATTTTCCCATGCTCAAATGGTGTCTACCTCCATTCTTTACTAGAATTTATCAATAAACAGATCAGAAAATATTTAGTCATTCTGATCTTAAATTGATATCATATCATATCATTTGCATGAAATCATTAATTGACTTGATATGCTGAATTCAAGAAAGATACAAACAAACCAAGGTATCGCCTTTTTTGAGGACAATTACTGAATCTATACTGAACTGTCTTACGCCTAATTGATAATGCAGTAACAAGAGACATAGGGGTAGAGCAGATAGGGAACAATAAGTACGAATAGGAGGGTATTTCTAGCGTCAACATATTTCAGAAAAGGTTTAAGTATCTAGCGTATTCTATTATCTCTTTTATATATTTCGAATGAAAAAGACGCCCAGCACCTTTGTCATCTTTTATTTATTTCTATTAGCTTGGTGTAAGTCAGTAAAAATTTATATTAAGTAAAACCAAAGGATTAAAACGAACGGATTTCTAATAAGCTAAAATGCTTTTATTTACTTTCCTTAAAAACGAACCTGTTGATTCATCAATGTAAAAACGTTTAATAACGATAGTATATATTTGTATTTATTTAAGCTTTTTGAATATATGTATAATACGAAGGCGTAGAAGGGCCAAATATAATTTTTTTTCATTTCGATTTGTAACTCGATTTACCCATCAGTATAAGAAGGAAGATAGGCTTTGTTTTATCGTAATTCATACAATTTCGTAGTTTCTTGCTAAGGTACGATAGGTGGTGATTTGGCAGGTGCTGATATCAATTTGGAACTTACAAATTCCATGGACCATGACATTGAACCCGGAAAACAATAACGATCCAATATTTCATATTATCAATTTCCAAGGAGTTTAAAAATTTTTGGACTCTTTTCAGTTAAAGAATTAGAAGGCATTCATGGAATGTCTCTTTGTCCCTTTTTTAAGCTTCTCATACCTTCAATGGTCAATGTAAGCATCATTTTATATAATGTTTGATCGGTGATACTAGCAATACGTTTGGAAAAGTATTTTAAATAAAAAATACAAAATGCTTTTCTCAAAAACACTGGGATTGAGTTACGTTTCGTTAGGTTGCGATTCAATAGGCATTTAGAGTTGCAAGAGGAAATTTCAAGTTGCAAGTGGAACTTTCAAGTTATAAGTCATAGTTTTCAGTTGCAAGTCGAAATTGTAAACAAAAATGTTTGGCAATTCTACACTTCCGTAATATAGTGACCACCAAAAGAAGAAAAAAATTTAGGCAAAATCAACAAAAAAAAAAGTGTAAAACGTGTACCACAAAAAAAAAAAGAAACAGAAATCAAGTTAGACCTACCAACGCTTTTTTGCGAGTGTGGTTTAAGAATGATGCCAGTGTGCAACAGCATAGCGTGTTCGTCAGTAATATCACCTTCGTCATTCCCACTTGCTTCCCCGTCTGTTAGACAAATATCCTACATCCCCAACAACATAAAACAAAGCCATAAGTAAAACATAAAAACAAAAAGTACAGTACAATATTAACTTTATTTTCTCTACAGTATAGCATTTTGTTGCTACGAATGAGAAATAAAAAGTCTTTGAGATGAGTGCTGTTCGTCCTAGGGGCACTCGTAAGATATTTTCAGGAAGAGTGAAGTAAATCATTACGTATGTTCAACTACTCTAATAGTTTGTCTCGTATACAGGGTGGTCATACCATTACGAATACCATGATGGTATACAAATACAAATAAGTATATAAAACCAACGAATCGAAACGTTTCTATAGCTTTTTATAGTTGTGATGAGAAAGACGATAAAAATAAGAAAATTTTAAAAACTATTTAGTTTTAAAATTTTATTTTACAAGTAGGTAGTAGAAGTGTCTGATTTTAGGTATCTAGGAAATCAGATAAGTCAGGACGGGAGAGCAGCAGGGATAAAAAGCAGAGGATAGCGCTGGGTCGAGTAGCCTTCAATAAAAAAAGTTACTTCTATGCTCGCGAACGGTTAATTTAGAAACTCAAAAAAAGTTGTCAAAGGTGTATGTTTGGAGTACGGCGCTGTACGGGTACGAAACATAGACGGTGAGCACGGCGGAAGAGAAAAGTTCGAAATGGGGTGTTACAGGCGCATGATGAGGATACCGTGGATAGAGAAGGTTAGAATTGAAGAGGTATTAGAAAGAATACGAGAACAGAGGACTCTATGGAAGTTAACAAGTAATAGGCGAGATAGGCTGGTAGGACACCTTCTCAGGCATGAGGGTCTAGTCAGAGACGTACTAGAGGCAGAAGTAGGAGTTAGGAGGGTTAGAGGTAGACCAAGATTAGATTACTGTTCGCAAAAAGTTAAGGATGTGGGATGTTCCAGTTTTAGGAAAATGAGAAGATAAGCTCAGGATAGGAAAGAGTGGAGATGCGCGTCCAACCAATCTTAGGACTGACGACCTTATGATGATGATGATGATGATGACGTACGTAGTACTGGGCTCTAACACTAGTTAAAACAACAATTACCCTGTATACGAGAAGCGATCTTTTTAGCGATAAAAATTAGTAAACAAACACTCAAATATAAAGCACTTTCTCTTGGCAAAAGAAAGTATCTTTTAAGCCTGTATTCCAAATCCCTTCGATATTAGTGACGAAAGTCTTTTTTTTGTTATTAACATTACAGTAATAACACTGAGGATTTAGGAATAAGAAATGAAAAAGTGCTGCTCGCCCTAAAGCCACCGCTAACCAGTGAATTTTGAATCTTACTTTTAATATTTTCCTTTGTATTATATTTCAGTTCATTCGCAATGTTCTCGCTAATCTGTCAAAAATAATTAATTTTATTTTTACAAATATGGATACGTATTATATTTTGCCATCATTTCCTTCTGCCATCCCTTTAAAAAACTTATTTACTTCTTCTGATACTGACATCAGTAACTAATACTTAATTAATTCATTATAGGAGGTACCACTTAATAGAAACTCAGTAATTTATTTTTGTTTCAGCTATCAAAAACAGAAGAAGATGGAGAATTAAGTGGCTCATAAATTTGCGGTGAGTTTATACTTTTGTTTATATTAATAACATATTTTTAATTATTGGTTTTTGAAGCACTTTGGGTGCAGAAACTGTAATGGAAATTATTTTGAAAAACTGTAAAAATAATAGTTGTATTGCAAAGCTTATCTAGTGACCTACGGATGTATGGACTTTTGATTATTCATTTCGGTGTAAGCCTTTTATAAACATATGTGCACGGTTATATAGATTTTCCCATGCTCAAATGGTGTCTACCTCCATTCTTTACTAGAATTTATCAATAAACAGATCAGAAAATATTTAGTCATTCTGATCTTAAATTGATATCATATCATATCATTTGCATGAAATCATTAATTGACTTGATATGCTGAATTCAAGAAAGATACAAACAAACCAAGGTATCGCCTTTTTTGAGGACAATTACTGAATCTATACTGAACTGTCTTACGCCTAATTGATAATGCAGTAACAAGAGACATAGGGGTAGAGCAGATAGGGAACAATAAGTACGAATAGGAGGGTATTTCTAGCGTCAACATATTTCAGAAAAGGTTTAAGTATCTAGCGTATTCTATTATCTCTTTTATATATTTCGAATGAAAAAGACGCCCAGCACCTTTGTCATCTTTTATTTATTTCTATTAGCTTGGTGTAAGTCAGTAAAAATTTATATTAAGTAAAACCAAAGGATTAAAACGAACGGATTTCTAATAAGCTAAAATGCTTTTATTTACTTTCCTTAAAAACGAACCTGTTGATTCATCAATGTAANTTAATTTCAAAAAATTGTGTATGATAGGAATGATTAATTTATTGATTATGTATTTTGGCTTATCGTATTTCACTGCCATTTTAAGCTTCGGAAATTAGGTATTTAAAAATGGTAAAAAAACATTACTCGAACTTTGCAGCTTTTGAAACAACTCAGTAATAATGGCGGCCAGATATAGTTTATAAATTTGACTAAAGAAAAAATTAAACGTTTTTACCTCTTCCACTTCCGGTACAGCAATTGTAACATTCAAGGGCTTCACTTTAGACTTGTGGTTGGGTTCTAACAGAAGTGGTGTATGTAAAATGTTTTTCCATTGACGACTCAGCACAATTACCCCCTAAATTTGAATAGAAAAGAATTTTATTCATTCTATAGCCTTATTTTTTTATAAGCAATAATACTACCTGCCGAAGTGTAGACAAATGCGGTATATCAGTTTCTTTTAAATTGCTCTCTATAGCTGACATATCAGTTTGCAAAATATACTTTTGCAAGATAACGCAAAGTTGACAACTAGGATCCTCTTGTAAAGTTTTTGCGAGAGGTGTTAAAATATTATAACGACTCTAAAAAATGTAAGGAGAGTTCAAAATTTGCTTAAAAATCACTTAAATAATTGGTATACCCTCGTTGGTATGTGAATTCCTTGCATGTCCAATGCTTCTGCCATTAAACAGGCAACAACAGCGGTTGACCTTCGGGATGCATTTCTCAATAAATTAACTAACCTTATCGCAAAACGATTACTTGGATTTAGCCAAGCATTTATTGCTGGAGAAGCAGTACTCAATAAATTCCAATCTAATCTAAAATTTAAGTAAGCACAGATTTAAGCTAGGAACAATTTGGCAACTTTGTAGCAAGTACGTCGCAGAAAAAAGTAAAATTTATTAACAGATAAAAGAAATTAGCACTTCTCCGTAAGTTACCAATGAAATAAAAGTGCATAAACACTGGTTAAACTATTAAAAAAGATTTTGAACTTTTTTTGTTCTCAGCAAATTCGGTGAAGTACGCTATAGTCTTTTTTGGCTAAAAATATCAACATTGGTTTTGTCAAAAAATATTTATCGCCCTGTATTTTCAACACAAAGCGACAAAAAATTATCAATGGAGAAAATATTCTTAGAGTAACCACGGACTTTTGCTGAAGGTTAAATGAACATCCTGTATGCATATAATCGACCTGTTTATAATAAAATATTTGACTATGAATCCCCTCCCCCCATTAATTCTGATCAGATTAATTCTGCACTTATATGCGACAAAAAGATAATAATTCTTGGATTGTCTGAAAATAGTCATATCACATTTTTGATATGGACAATACTGCGGATTGTTCCTACTTAATTTTTTAACCAGGGTTAAGGATCCAAAATTTGTAGATTGAATTTTCGGAGCAAAAGTTTTTGATGGGAAAAATTAATATCTTGTTAAACTTTACCTTGTATAATCAATTTTCTTCGTAATTGGTGTTCTAGGGGGCGCTGCAAAATTAAACCAAACAGTTTTCAGTTCTATAATACACGAAGAAATGTTGCCACTGTCTTTGGGAACGCATTGAACCGCTTTCAGCTTCAACTCTTCAACATTTTCTGGCTTTTCTTTAATATTTCCCGTTTCTAATGTATTTTCGTTCACGTTAGACTGGGTTTTTGTAGCTGTTTTAGAACTTTGCGAATTTCTCTCACTCTTTGTTTTCTGGTCCTGTGTTGGGACAGGTTTGGTTTGTTCCCCGACTTTTGGTGCTGGTTTAGAAATTCTCGGGGTCTCATTCGGTGGATGATCAGCCACAGTTGCACTGTTGGTATCTTCGGAAATTTCGGGATTGAGTTCCCCATTTACTGGACCTTGTTCTGTGGTCGACTTGTTCACCACCTATATAAATAAACACGTTTATTATTTTGCATATATAGATTTGTACATACATAAACTTAATTAAAGTTTTGGCGATTTAAAATAGAAAAATTTTAATTGAGAAAAATGGTAATTTTGATTTTTAATTTAAGTAGTAAATCAATTTATTTCCTACCTTTAAATTGATACCTTCAAATCCACATTCAAACATTATGAAGCCCAGTTTTTCTTCGTCATCAATTTCAGGCTGTTGGGACTGTAACAAATTATTTTTCAGAAGTTTACAAATTTTAAAATAAAGATGGTCGAATATCTTATTCAGGAAAAATATTTTTGTCACCAAAACTATTTTCTCAGATGTTTTTACTAACCGTTTGTTCATTTTTAACTGGTTGCATGTAATAATCGACACCCCTATGCATGGGTCCAATTTTCATGGACGTAAATAAGACTTTCGAATAATAATTGGGTATAGCAGTAATGACAGCATCGTCCAAAATAGAACTTTCGTTTTTCAAACGTCTAAGTTGAGTATGAACTTTTCCTATATTTAAACAAACCACCAGTTGCTCTTGTTGCTTCTCGCAACTTTCTATAGAAACTGGTTCACCACGAACTATGTCTCCAATAGTGTGAGTATGCTGACCCAAAAGGAACGCCTTTGCTTTGGTCAAGCCCTTTTTGTTACCCATTTGAACCACAGCAGGTCTATGAAATGTTTGAAGTACTTCGCGAATCTGAAAAAAATATTTAGAATTTGGAAAAATAAAAATTTGGAAATCTTTCTNTGAAACACTTTTTTCATAAGATTTAAAAAATACACATTTATTTTTAATATTTTCACGAGGGAGAAGCCGCAGGGGATTTATGGTGTACACATCGTTGGAATTCAAAGAATTTGATTTTTACGTTGTGGAATTCTGCGGATTTATTCCGAGAAACGAGAATTTATTGGGAATTATAAGGATTTATTGAAATCATTGAGAAATTACAAGAAATTTATTTCTGTTTGGTGAGAAATTATTAACTGCACATACATTTCTACGCATGCATACATTTAGATATATGTATTTTTTTATTTATTGTTTAATTTTTAAAATTAAACTTATGCTAAAAGTTCTGTTTAGCATACATATACTAACTGAATATTTATGCTAAAAAATTGTGGTACAAGGGCACATATTATATAAACATTTACATATTTTAACCTTAAGCTACGTATTTGCATATGTACAGTACACTTCTGAGCAAATCTTCTAAATTCAAAACATAACTAAAAAAGATTTTTTAATTTGATAAATTTTTCTTGAGAACTTCTTTTGAATGTTACTTTTGGTAAAAATATTGCTGCTTGAAGTTGTGACGTAATGGTTTCTTCATAGTCTCCAGATTCTACACGACCCTCCTTTTCTGCTTGACGTAATTTCAGAATATTTTCGGTTGTTTTCAAAATGTTACATTTTTTGACTTGACCTATGCAAGATGCGTGTAAATGGTCAATGACAGTGGATGGATGTAAAGTTGCTAGAATAGGGCTCAAAGAATCCACAAATCTAAAATTTACATTAACTTGATGAGTCCACTTAAAAGAAAATGAATTATTTCGAACCTTTGTAGAGATTCCAACAACAATGGACTAACTGCCACATCTAAATCACCTTTTAATTTAATGATAACAGAAATTCTCGAATCAACATCGTTTTGGGAACCCAAAAGTTCTTCCTCTTGTAGATTACCTTAAAGATATTTTGTTGTAACATTGTTTGTGAATGATAAGGGATAGAATAATGAATTTACTGGTATCTATTTCTGATTGTATTTCTTCAATGTTTTGGTCCCACACAAATCCATACGGAAATGTGGGAGTCCGTCCAGTAACCAACGGAGACTCCGGATAGTCCGATCTAGTGACCATTTTGAATGAAGTCAAACCTTCAGAAATTACTTCGGTAACTGGGACAAATTTTCCTCCTGTTGGACAGGGAATTTTGGGGTTTATAGGAAGCACTTTGTCTGTAATAATACTACTTACCAATGTAAACAAGTTTACCACTTGCGTTCTTCTGAAACAAAGGGACTGAAAAGGATTCAGAACCCTTTGGTTGGGTCCAATTTGAACAACGAACCTAGGAATAGTTTTTTGTTTTACATTTTCATATAAAAATTTTAATATCTGACAAATAAACATAGTCAGATGTTTTAGCCCTCGTCTTGAAGGGTATTGAACGTATATGATTAGTATTTTCAGGAATTATTGAACGAATAATGAATTCATCAATTTTTACAAAAGAAACTCCTGAAGTTAGCGAAAAGTCGTTGGTGCGTAAACCCTCAAACTTAAGTTCCAACAGCATCAAAGGTTTAGAAAATGTCGAATAGGTCTCCAGTTTTAGAAGACATTCTTGGAGTTCATTTGAAGCAAAAGAACATAATTGTTTTTATAATTTTATAAGTCTCCGACCAAGCATAACTCAAACATAAATAATTGATAATCCCAACTGATCGTTCTTCTGTTTCAAATAACCTAAAGAGATGCTGTGAAACCTATGATGGAATGATAGTCGGAAAACCCTTTGAAAGACAGGATTCAACGTAAAGCTTTTTTTACAAATAAACTACCGATTAATTCAGCATGTTTACCTGAGTAAGGCAACTAACGTAACTGGACATGAGCATTGGTGAGTCCATAATTTGCCTATTGACTTGCATGTGCAGATCTATCAAAGTCAAATCCTCTTGACTTCCTACTGCTGATGCATAAGAAGCATTGCTTAGGCTTTCGCTGGAGGATGTGTCGGTTAGACCATTTTCGAAAAACGACGTGTGAACGCTCGGACTACCGCTAGGACATTCTCGGTCCGATACTCGGGGACTCACAGATCTATTACTACTGGGATATCTTTGAGGTGTCACCAAACCTATTACCGTCCGATTGGAATCGTCAAGCTAAATTGATAAATGCGTTAATGCGACAATATAATAAAACGTTTATACATTAAGTATTTGTAATTGCATAAATTGTTTAACGCCAGAAAAATTGAAATAATTAGGAGTATTATCTACAAATAAAGATATTGTGCTTATAAGGAAACGTCAAGGGATAAACCATCAGTAAAAATACCTGTGTGCATCTCTGATTATGTTTAAGATAACAGTAGGAAATAGGAGAATATCACGGGACATTGCAGATATCATGAGGGTATCAGGTGATAGTAACACGATTTTAAAGGAACTCATAGAGCCCACATACGAAAACGAAAACGCGCATGTAGTGCAGTGACTGCAAGACTCTCAAAAAATTTCAAGAGAAAATTGGAAGACCAAGAGGAAATCATAGGAAATTTAAGGATATTTTCTTAAGAAGTCGAATTATGTACAGCATTATGGCGATGGTTTACCCCTCGTAAAATATATTCAAGCAAAATATTTACTCAGCCTGTGAAGCCAAACAAGAAGCACTTGATTATTTTGGTCCAAAAATACTAATACTTTTACAACATGCAAATTCTACTGCGATTGCTTTACTAATTAGTGATCTACAATCTACATACTAGTATTAATATATTTTAATTATCATATATTACATATTATTCATTACCATGGTAGTGGTTCTACTTAAAAATTACCAGAGCGAGTACAGTGCGGAGATGAAAAGAAACTTGAATGTCGAATGCAAATATGTAGGATTCAAAGTAAGAGACTTCTGAATGCTCAAAAAGCCCAACATCAATCATTTTCTGGGTGTTCTATGCTTATTTTAAGATAATCGGAAACAAAAGAAACCCTTAGGATGGTATCTTTCCAAGCCCCCCCCCTCACCCAAAAGATCTTAATTATGATAAAATTAATTTAAAAAACTACAGGAATGATCCCTACATGCACTAAGGTTTAAACATTTATATTCGTATTAAAATTTATTATGATACAATACAGGTATCCACAGGTTATCTGTTTTATTTTGATCTTTTATAAATCATGTTATATTGAGCACAAGATGTAATGATCATTGAAATAAAGCTATGTAATTGGTTTTTGTCACCACTACAAATGTAAATACAGTAGACACTCGGTAGTGTGAACTGAAAAAAACTCCACATTACCGATTTGTTCACGTTAACGAATGTTATACATATTTAATAACATGGAATAAACATCGTAAATTAACAAAACAGATATAGGGGAGAGCGGGACAAAGCGAGGTTTGGGGCAAGACGGGAAGAGCGTTAATGTATGTAACTGTATGTGTATGTGTGGACCAGACAGGGCACTGAGAAAAAGTTGAATTTGTTCATATTTTTACGAAATTTTGTGACAAATGTTGACGTGTTATTAGGAGAGTAACTAAATATTTTTGGAATATTTTCAGCTCTAGATCGTAGCAGTAGTATCGAAGTTTGATAGATGGTACTTTTCGTAGCCATCACTGTGTTAGATTAGAAGTACTTGGTTTAAGTACAAAATATGTTTGTTGAGGCAAAATGGTTGGGGCCTAACGGGATACTCAATCTGAAGAGAAGAATAGTAAGTAGCTTAAGAAAGAAAGTGCGCTTGAAAAACACTTGAATGAGTTTTTCCCATCAATTCCTTATTTTATTGGTCAGGCAGTTCCTCCGGATTACTCCCGAGAGTAGGACAGAAGGTCCTCTTCAGCCTCCTTTTAGGAATCATGAGGATGGGTAGGTGGCGGTTGGGTTAAAAAAGATGAGACGGACGAAATTAAGAAAAGACCATCTGTGAAATAAAATTATTATTACTACTGCCTCATAATTTGCCCAAATGATTCAAAGAAATTCGGAATCGAACCAGTGTCGTCTCGAAAATTAAGCAATGGTCTAAACCTTTAGGCAATGCTGCTGGGTACTGCGCTTACATTTACTGAGCGAACTTATTTGCAGTCGACCAAAAGATGGGTATTTTGCTATGTGGTAGCATGTGCCATAATTGGGCCCATAATATTATTCCTGTGTTGCAGTTAATGAGCATACTTGTGAACGCCGCCAATCTGATTAAAATATATGCTCTTTTTACCCCGTGCTATTTTTCATTTTGCCACGGGGCAAAATTGGGAATTTGAGTTCCTTACTGTTGTTCCTCATTATGAGAAGATTAAGTGATTCATTGTATATAATGTTTTAAATATAGCAAATACAAATAAAATAATTTATGCCAAAGAAATCAGAAATTATGGGTATTTTCTGAAGATTTTTTTGTTTGTTTAATGATTATTTCTCTATTAGTCCTATAACCATCAAGGCATCAAGTCAATAATGTCAACTTCAGTCTCTTCGTCCGTTTAGTTACATTTATAATATACTCGACAGTTGAGGATTTGTAGATAGTAGATGACACAACCACTAGCAACAAACCATGTACTAGTGTTGTAACAGACCTCTGCTTCCGCTTCCGCAGTTACGGAAGTTTCGCATACATTATCAGGACTTAAAAAAAAACATTTTTCATCTTTTTGAAAATTAATATATCGGAATAATAAAGCAAGTCGTAAAAATTTGCTACTTTTATCTGTTGGCTGAACTTGACCGTTTTCAAAACACAATTTAAATGGAATTGGTTGTTGCAAAGCTGCATGTTGTGCAGGTGTCTCCGCTAGCTTTTTAGCAACCCCTTTGTAACATAGTGAACGTATTATTTATGAAGTATTAGCATCAACGCAGCGTTATAGCCGGTAAAATTTTGTTATAGTAATAATATTGTTCCTGTGCAAATAACATTATTATAGGTTGGGGCCTAAATCTATTTCCTAGTATTTCGTATGTTGATATTTTCCAAATATTATTATTAGTTCCCTAGTTTAATCTAAAAATGTCCAGGACTTTTAACTTCCCCTTAGCCAGTTCTCCTAATAATTTCTTTTCGAAAATACTAATACAGTTATAGCGTTTATTTATTTTGTATAGTGTTCGCGAATGGTTAATTTAGAAATTCGAAAAAGGTTGTTAAAGGTATATGTTTGGAGCACGGCATTGTACGGGTGCGAAACATGGACAGTGGGCGCGGCGGAAAAGAAAAGGTTAGAAGCGTTCGAAATGTGGTGTTATAGGCGGATGATGAGGATATCGTGGGTAGAAAAGGTTAGAAATGAAGAGGTATTGGAAAGAATAGGAGAACAGAGGACTCTATGGAAGTCAATAAAAAATAGGCGAGATAGGTTGGTAGGACACCTTCTCAGGCATGAAGGTCTAGTCAGAGACATATTAGAGGCAGAAACAGGAGTTAGGAGGGGTAGAGGTAGACCTAGATTAGATTACTGTTCGCAAATAGTTAAGGATATGGGTTGTTCTAGCTTTAGGGATATGCGAAGTTTAGCTCAGGATAGGAAAGAGTGGAGGTACGTGTCCAACCAGTCTTAGAAAGACTGAAGACCTTATGATGATGATGAGTGTTTGCTCAGTGGTGTAAGTGCAATTTTGAAGCTAAAAAGAAGTTCCATTTGGGATTATGTTGTTGATATTGACGATGCAAATGCTAAATGTAATTTTGTAATAAAATATTCACGAAAAGGGCGCAAGATCACTGCATTAAAGAGTCGCTTGGAATCATTACACTTCCGTTTCAGCAAAAATTTACTATTTACTTCTGTTTCCGTTATGACACTTCCGTTGCATCGCTACTATGTACCTAACTATTTAAAGTAGATACACAAATAAAATATCATATCTAGGTAATAAGACTAGGGAAGTACTAAATTCATAGGGGATTTAGAGCAATGGCGCAACATCAACGGCGAAATATCGATTTGTTTCTATAAACGAAAATTTACTTTGTTCACGGTATACATTTCATTTCATTCCCATTACGCAGGGTTTCCACTGTGCGATGTTCACACTATCGAGTGCACTGTTATTAACAATTTTGTAAAAATTAAACGATATTTTAACTAATATTAAAATAAAACGGACACCCTGTTTATTATAAGCGAAATAACATGCTTCAAAATTACCCTTCATAGATTACGTATTTTATTATATTAAATGAATTTAATCATTCTATTTACTTAATTGTTTCTTTGGCTTTTTTTTGTTGACGAACCTGTTTGTAATGAGAAATAATTCGATGTTCGGGAGTATGAATTTCATGATCGCTCCTGTGACTTGGCAAGATCAGTTTGCTTTTAGGGACAGTTGATGAAGGAACACTTGAACTTTGTTGACTTTTTTCATGTATCGGCGGTCGTTCAGTTATACTTAATTCACTCGAATATTTCTTACCACTATTAAATAAGAATATAAATTGTCACTTGGCGTCAGTGAATATAATATTATTGAATTTGAATCGCAAAAACCAATTGTGAGAGAAAAACGTAGAATTACAGGCAAAATATTATATACACATTTTTGGATATAATTCAGAGCATATCGAAAGAAAAAAATTTGAAATTAGATATACAGGGTGGTCACTCTTACAGTGCATACCATTGGGATATTCTAAACGGTAAGACATACAGTGTGGGTTAAATTAGAAAACAGTTGTTTTTTGATGCTTTTCAAGAATCTGAAAAAAAATCACCTAAACTCAACCGTTCTAGAGTTATCGCAGAAAAACTGAAATTAGCTATTTTCTACTTTCTTTTATAACTTTTTTATTTATTTCAAGAAAATTATGAAACTTACTACATTTACATTATTAACAATAATCTTTCTAATTAATTTATCAGAAATTTTGAAGGCCTACTCAAAATCTTATTTTCCAATGTTCACTTTTGATTTTCTTATGGACGCCATGTTGGATTTTTATGCCAATAAAAAGAGCAAAAAAATATGATTTCATTGACGTATCACATATTGAATTTTCAGTGCCCCCCCCCCCATTAAAACATCATTTTCTGTATTTATTCGTTAATATCAAGTCGCCATTGTTATGAAATTTCGGATTTATTAACAAACAATTGGTACATTCAGATACGGTTTTCCCAATGGTATGCACTGTAAGAGTGACCACCCTGTATACTCCTATTTCAATTTTGCAAAAAATATGTCTCTCCATCAACAATTTTTATTGAAAATTTCAATTGTGCGTAATAAAAGTGAATCTATGTGATTTTCTAAAAGACAAAATTCAATTATGCAATATACATATAATTATTTATTAGCCATTCCTATGGTAATTTTAAAAATACATATATACGATATATTAAGCGATATGTTGCTGTCTAAAATACCACAAATACGTTTAAACATCCTAAAACGTGTTTCGACACCCGAAGTATTATCCTGGGGATGACGCCTCTGGAGTAGAAACGCATTTAATTAAACACATTTGTAGTTTTATTTATTAAATTAATTATCGATATACGTATTTTATGTTTTGGCTATATCCCTTTGGAACGTAGATGAAGACTTAAGAAAGATTCGTACAAAAAAAGTAAATTAATATTTTGTGATCAACGATTGAATCATGTACCTTGATGGTGGAGTATTCATACTATCTTGCTTTGTAAGAGTCGCCCTTGAACCCAGAATCGAATTTCTCAAACTCGAACTTCCTGAATTGATGTGAAATTCTTCATCCGCAGAGAAAAACGCTTCCGACTGATTTTCACTACATATCGATATCGTCCTTTGAACCTGTTTTTTATTGTTCGTTTTACGACAAAATCTTCTTTAAAAATAAGACATTGTTTTGTTTTTAATAACAGATTGTTTTTTTTTGGGTTAAGTTATTGCGATTATCACCAACGCGCTAGTTTTCATAAATATTATCACAAAGTTGTGGAAGACCATATAAATGGAAATTAAAAAAAAATACATGTATTTTTGAAATCCTCTACCAAAAAGTAGAGATTTTCAAAAATATTTCTCCTACCTTCTTCTTTCAAACTAATAGACAATTCAATTCAGTAACAGTCGCCAAAACGTTTGGATGAAATCAACCCAAAAGCCAGGATAAATAACCTAAAAGCCTCCGATGTATGATTTCAAAAATATTCAAACTTTCCAAAGAAGTTTAATGAAAAACAAAGCTTTAAACATTTACTTTTTTGCC